GAACGGTAAATCTTCGTGAGTAACCCTTCTTGAAGCATATCTTTCGAAATCATATCCTGACATGAAACTTCTTTAGAGCACCACAATGTCGACAAACTTCTTCTGATGGTTTACCTCCTTTGAGCGACGAAGCTAAAGCAGCATTAGAATAAACAAAGGCAGATGGGAAGGCCAGACTTGCAGCTGTGACTGCTGCGGGTGGAACTGTTACTGATAGAGAAATTTTATTAGTTATCAAGAAGGCTGCTGAGGAAAACCCCAAGAAGGATCATCCTAAGGCTATAACTGATGGATTTATAGCTCTCACAGACCAAAAGCTTGCAGAAGCCAAAGCTAAGTCATCAGCTTAATGATATAATCTCTTTCATTGTAATCCTTCTGTTTGTACTCGTTGTATGGACTGGTTCATACCATAGATCGCCCCCTTTTTTCCCGGTTGTTTTCAGTTGATTTACAGATCTATATTGTACATATTAATTCAGGCTCGAGAAATACGGATATATCCTTTTTGATTAATTTTGAAAAAGATCAATTGGTTTTGTTATTACAATCGGGAGGAGTTTTAACTTCATTACCATCCATGTCCCTTATCCAGGCCTTATTGCTTGAATTGAGACTCCAATTGTCAGAGATGGTGTTGAACATCACTTCAAGGTTTGGTGGCCGAAGTTTTACCTAGTTTCATGAAATTTGAACATCTTGGATGAGTGATTATCAGAACAGTGTGTTTTCTGAGGTTTTCTGCTCTTTGAGGAATTTTTCGGTCGCGAGGCGACAGCGCGGGACTTTGCTAAATTTAAATTTTTCTGATTCAGGGTCTCTCAGGGTGCATCTTAATTTTTGGGATTGGTCTGATTGGTCTCCAGATTTCACACGTCACAACCTGTCACAACATACTTGCTAATACAGTCACCGATCATGTCACGTGACCAGAACCAAAAAAATATGCAGAGTGATCGGAGTCAGCATTCTGTGGGGTTTCTAAAGAACACTGGGGCATTGATATCTTGAATTGAGAATATCTGGAGGATGTGGTTTCAATCTATGGAGTATATACAGGCTGACATTGCATTCTGATCATCAGGGCTTTGGACTGGAACCACCATTAATCTTGGAAAGACTCGTTTGAGTTTGGAAGCCCTTAAGAGTCATTCAATCGAAGCAGGGTTGATCCAGATTTACAAGATTAACCAATCTCAAGTTAAAAAGTTTATAGCAAGGGTTGGTTTGTCTGATATACTCATTCATATACCCTCAAGATACCCTCATATACCCCGAAAGTTTATTTACTTTCTTCAAGTTTCTGATGCTCAACTTCGATCAAGATATTTCAAAAACCGATTTGATTGATATTCATCATCATCATCAAATTTCTTTAGACGATGGGTTCAATAAAAAGTTCTTCACATCAAGTTTCTATAAATGGTTCTTCTTCAAGTTATCATCGATCAAAAGATATTAATCTAAGTAATCCGAACAGATCACCTTCAAATCATTCTTCACATCAAAAACAATATACATCTTCTACACCTACTACGGTTCGATCGAGTCACAGTTTACCTGCTTCACCACATTCTTCTAGATCACTTTCATCACCACATCAGTCTCCGGTACTCTTATCACCATCAAAACCAGTACAAAGTTTAATAATTGAGGAAAATCAAGACGATTATAAGTCTGTGAATGATGGAGCTTCTAGAAGAACGATTCATTCATCTGGGATAGGATCAGATCATCGGTCTAATAGATCTGATTATAAAGAAAACCCATCAAGAAGAGAAATCAAATCGTTAATGACAACAACACCTACGACCTTTAATATAGCTTATAGTCCAAGTATAGATACGAGCATTCGAACTTCACAAAAAGGTTCGATTAGAGAAAGTCATTGTACAGCTAGTCAAATTGGATCTAATAAAACTCATCAACCTAATCCGAATATGATTGAAAAGATTGAAGAAGAAAGATTAGAACCTAATATGATTAGAGGAATCGGATGTGAAAGAAATTCAAATGATTTAGCTGAAATTATTTTAGGATTAATTAATTGTTTAAAATTGATGAAAAAACAAGTGGTAGTTTTGAAAGAATGGAATTTAAAAAGAAAAGAAAATAAAAAAAACAAAAAAATCGAGAAAGAAAAAGAAAAGAACGGAAAGAAAGGAGAAGGTAAAGGAAAGAATCAGGATTTAGAAGTAGGTGGTATAGATGAAGAAGAAGAGTTAAAATCATTGAAATCAGATAAAGAAAAACTTTTACATGAATTAAATCAACTTGTGAACCCGAATGGTTCGAAGAGTGAGATGGGAAACCAAGTCGAAATTAACTTGTGTCGAATCAATTCTTATAAATCTAATTTTTCTTCTATTCAACCTAAACTTCCGGAAGAAGTTTGTGTTTGGCAAAAAGAAGGTAGTGCTGGTTGGAGAGTTAGAAAACTCACTCTTAAACATGAGTAAGTCTGTCTCTTCTTTTTTGGGGAGGTTTATTAATTTGGAATTAATGACTGGGTTTTGGGTTTGAAAAGTGATGAAATTGGTTTGAAAGGTTTAGATAGTGAGTAAAAGTTTTGTATGTTGACTTTTCATGGAAAGATCAGTTTGTGTTGATTAATTCTTGTTTATGGTATTTTAATAGATGACTTGGATCCAAAGGAACATTTGAAAGCAAGATCACAGGGAAGTCATCAAGCAATTATCCATCATGATGGTATGTAATTTGTTTTTTTCCCCAACCAATCATGATCGTTTCTAACTTTGTGTTTTATTTTGTGGTGGTGATGGGGGGTCAATTTCTTAATAGACTCTTTAACTTATCCTTCTAGATCTACAATTTCTTGAATGATATTGATTTCAAAGTGCTTTCTTTTTTCTTGAGATTGGATTTTTTTTTGTCAAAAACAAAAAGTGGAATGAATATTGAATATATATA